TTCTGGGGTACAGTGTGGGGTTTTCACATGCAATCTGAAATACTTCCATCTTTATTCTTTTTCTTTAAGTTGTTTAACAGATACCAAGTCCCTAGAAATGCCTCTCTGAGTTTAAAATGCATATGGGCTGAGTAGAAATCAATGATTTAATTACACGTTATGATGGAAAAGGTGTATGATGGTGTAAGGGAGGATAAAAAGTAGCTGGCCAACAAAAGCCTATCTAAGGAGCATGAGCCTCAAAGGGGTGTTCAGTTATCTAAAATATGAGTGTTGTAAGGGGGCTGGTGAAGAAGCATCTGGGTGCAGAATGAGTGTCCCTCAGTGAGGAAACAGAGCTACAGAAGTAAGAGAGAGAGGTCTGGGAGAAGAACTGAAAAGAGGGTAGGAGAGCCACAAAACCAGTAATGGTGAGGCTGCCTGAAAATAAGGCCTTCTTTTTAAAGTCTTGGTTTTTAGTATGAACAAATTGTTGTTATTTACAATTTGTTCATAAACAAATGTACAAAAACATAAAGTGTTTTTCCTGTATTGTTTGATTTACATTTACACTAATACATCAGATATGCACTAATCAATCAAGAGTTACATATATATCACTCATCTCTCTAATACTAGAAATGTATTTTTTGACAGATTGAGATTTTAAAAGTCATTTCTATTGAATTTTACTCTTTGTGAAAGTTCAATTTTAATGTACATCTCGACTTTTACCTCTTCTTTATAGGAGCCCATTTCATTATTATTAATTGTTTAGTCCTAGTAATCTAATATTCCTATGTTATATGCTTGCTTTTTATGTTTTAATTAATATATCATTTATTTATTTATCGAGACAGAGTCTTGTTCAGAGCTATGGTGATGCAACTGCATTCTAGCTGGGGCAACAGGGTGCAAGACTCTGTCTCAAAGAAAAACACCCCAAAACAAAAACTGATATCAAAGTTCTAGGCTTAATACATTGAACAGCTTTTGCTAAAGACCCAGGGGGATAAATTAACACACATCATAGAAGATAGTGAAGAGAATATCCAGAGCTTGAAGAGATGGCATCTGAGGATAGTAATTATCTATTACCATACCTTTCTTCAGTACCTTTTTGAGTCTACCTTATATCATGTTCCTTTCTGTTTTCCACCAATGTACAGCACTGGAAAAAAGCCAGTAAGCCTTTATTGAAAATCAAAAATAGTTTGCATGGAGGAAAAATGGATACCATTGGAAAAAAACCTGATCTTTTACATCAATAACTGGTTAATATAAAAAAAAACCAAATAAGCACTTTGTAAGATAGCAAAATGAAAACCTGCTGGAAACAGTGATTGTCATGTCACAGTGATGAGAGAGGCCTAAGAGTTAGGATGCTAATTTAGGAACAAAATTTCAGCTTTTCTTCATATTGCATTCTGATAAATCCTAAACTGGATTATTTTAAAGAAAACTGTATTTTCCCATAGGCCCCAACATTAAAATTTTAGACATACCTGATGATATATAAATATATAATATTAACCTCAGAAATCACAGAATCTAGCTTATCCTTTTTACAAATGAGGGAACAGTTATTTCATCAAAACAATACAGCTGATTACTTAGAATAGAAATTTTCAGGCCCTGATGTAGAGTTAACTCTTCCTTTATATTACATTGATTCCCACTACAATGTTATTAAAAGTACATCACTGGGGTCGGCACCTGTGGCTCAAAGGAGTAGGGCGCAGGCCCCACATACCAGAGGTGGTGGGTTCAAACCTAGCCCTGGTCAAAAACTGCAAAAAAAGAAAAAGTGCATCACTGTACTATACACACTTGTTATATAAAGATACCAGAGAAATATAAAGTATGCTTAAATCTAATACTAAGATTATATCACAGAATTGACTTAGCTAAAAATAATAGATGGGCTATAATAAATATTAGTCATTTAATTGATTAAATTGTTGTAGTTTGTAACTCCTCATGGGGTAATCTATCCCCAGTCTCTGGGCCACAGACCAGTATGGTCCTCAGCCTGTTAGATGTGGGGCTGCAGAGCTCTGCCCCCACAGCCTCCTCCGCACCCTCCATCCGTGAAAAAATTGTCTTCTCTGGAAAATTTGTCTTCCATTAAACTCAGGAACCAGCCACACAGCAGGAGGTAAGCAGTGGGTGATGGAGCGTAGCAGCTTCATCTATACTTACAGCCACCAGCTGCTCCCCATTGCTGGCATCACCACCTGAGCTCCACCTACCTCTCTACCCCATCCCTGTCCATGAATAATTGTCTTCATGAAGTCCATGCCTGTACCAGAAAGGTTGGGAACTCCTGCCTTAATAAAAGAAAAACTTTTACCACTCGTTTTTTGGTGAGGGTGTTTTTGGTTAGTTGGTGGTGGGTTCATTAAACTTTCTTCTGGCGGGTGGTGCTTGTGACTCAGTGAATGGGGAGCTGGCCCCATATACCGAGGGTGGCGGGTTCAAACCCAGCCCCTGCCGAACTGCAATGAAGGTTGCTGTGGGCTGTGACACCACAGCACTCTACACAGGGTGACAAGTCTCTAAAAAAAAAAAAAACTTTGC